CCCCAAAACCCCAAAACCCCAAAACCCCTGTGCAGGTTAAAATTATTGAAAATGGAGTATATTTCTAATGAGACTGGATGTAAAATCGGATACGCCTACCTTCTTGGTATTATGGATGCTTAATTTATAGTATTCTTAGGCATCTCAAATATCTTCATGATTGCAACAGCTCTGGTCATTCATTGATGCTGTAAGGAAGCATTACATAAATTTTAGGGAATAGAAAATAAGCATGAGATCAGTAATGAAGACAAATTAGCAAAGATAATGCAACTGCACACTTTTGAATCGAATGGAACTGAAACTAGAGAGAATAACAAAGTAAAGCAAAACAATTATATTAATATCAGACAAAACACTGAGCAAGAAAGTTCTCCCTTGATTATCGATCTCCCTGTGTTTTATGAGGACTTACAAAATATTTATAACTCAGAAGATAGAAATGAACGGAGTCTTTTGAAATAGCTGGAAAAATTTTGTGCTAAAATACCAATGTGTCGAGGTATTTCTATACAATAACAAAAATCCAATGACTCTAAGAGATGAAGAGAGCAACTCAAACCAAATATTTCTTGATTCAATTACCAAAATAAAGGAAATACAAGATTCTATATTCGAACTATGAGGCTACTATAAACAAGAAAGCTACTTCCAACAGGATCAGACAATGAGAATTGTGGATGAGAATAGTTATAGCAAAGACATTCAGACTATCAAAAGAAAGCATCAGAGAACATATAGTCATAATAAAAATATCCCTGTAGTTACACCAATGAGTAATCTTATAAATCTTATATCCAGACAAGAGCTATGGCTGTTTGTTTTTTTTAGCCACAAAATTTTAGATTTTAGAAATAATGTTTTAAACTTTCCTTTATGATTATTTATAAAACCACCAAAATAAAAATATAGAACATATGAGTAACAGAACAATAAATCATATAAATGCTAAATAAAGTAGTTACTCCAAAAAGGACTTTTAGAAGAGCTATTAAACTGAAGAGTGTCTCTTTCAAGGCAATCCCGAACAGGATTGTAGAAATCTTAAATAAAAGCTCGAAGGAAGGGAGCCCATTGAATCAAAGTGAGTCATGAGATTCATCAATCGAAAAGTCTAATTCTCGAAGCTCTACAAAAAGGTCAAACTTGTATAGTGAGTCTCATGGTTTTGAGCCTCAGAAGATAAATAATTTTAGTCTAAAAGATCGGGTTGAAGGTTCTCATAAGCACTCGATATCTAGGAATTTAATCATAGATCCAAGGATAATTATACGATAATATATGTAATTATTTTTACAATGAACCTTAATTCAGTTGTTAAACTCTACACTAAGTAATCAAAGCTCTTCTAAAATCAAAGTAGAGCCATTAAATCCTAACCGCCTTTTAAAGAAGGTTAGCAATGAAAGTTTGATGAGTAGGATAGAGAAAGATAGCCTAAACCAGAGTAAAGTTGGAAGAAATACTAGAGTTGAAGAAATCAAGAAGACTATATCTCAGAATAAGAAATATTTTGGAAGGTATGTTTTTCATTAATTATTTAAAATATCATTAGCTCAAAGCTGCACTTCTCTTTCTCTTCTTGTTCCATAAGCTTATTAGTTCAACTCTACTATTATACAGAACGCCAATGAGGGTGGAGGAAATGTACAATGACACTGAGAAGAAGTTATTCTCTGAAATTGAGGTATATAACATAAGCCCTCACAAAGTTCAACTTGACAAAGATGTATATTTTAACCTTAATTTATAAAATTTCAATTTTTATATTAAATTTGGGGTTTTGGGGTTTTGGGGTTTTGGGG